TCTGCCAACCTATTTCCCTCCACATGTTTTTGGACAGCCATGGGGCTGATAGGAATTGCAGTCTGAAATATCTAGAGGGCACCAGGTACACCATTTCCCTCTTGTGTATTGCACTTTTCCACCATCATGGAACTCCAGGTAGCATATATTCCTGTGCTGTTCTCTTTCCAGGCACTGGGCAGACCCTTTTTGGTTCAGCAAGGGGGCTGCAGCCGGTGTGCTCAGACTATACCTTGGTTATGCTCTAGAGCAGTGGCTCCCCATCTTTCCTTCAGGCTCCTGACACCTTGGTTCCAAACTTATATATTGCCCCTACCCTATAAAAAGTGTTATTCAGAATAGCAGTCTGCACAATCCACTAAGGAAGGTAACAACATAATGAAATTTAAAACAGTAATAATTAAAGGCAACAAACAATTAATTTGTTCGAAATCCAGTTTAAAAACTATTTAATTTAATTAAGTCAACAGAATGGATGAACTTGATCCAGTGATACCAGTTTTTCAAAGTCTGATGGTCATTTATACCTTCAGTGCCCGCTGCCTGCCTTGCCTCTTAGCACCCTCCTAGGTAATCCCACCCCCTCCAGGGTTTGGTACCACCAACAATGGGAACCACTGCTCCAAAGCAGCAGTCATCAACCTGGTGCCCTCAATATTTATTGGATTGCAACTCCCAGACTGACTGGGACCTCCAAGCCACAGTTCCAGTGAAACATGTCTGCCTTAAGTCTCCTTGGTTTCAGCAGTACTGAAGACTGGGAAAATACAATGTCCCAATCTTAAAAAGCACTGCCTGATGTTCTGACCCCACCACTTCTGCCATGACAACCAAGTCACAGCTGTGTATTTATTGCGCAACTAAACTTGGATTAGTTTGGAAGAACCTGGCCTTTGCCTGTATTGCTAAACACTCTCTTCCCCCTTTTTGAGGATTTGCTTTTGCTTCCAGTTCCCTGGCCACTGCTGAACATTCAGCTCTTCCTCTCCGGCACGAGTGTTTTGCTCCGCAAAGTGCAAGAGGTCACCAGCACTGCAACTCCCTTGTAAGCAAGAAAGCACAACGAAGGCCTTCAGGGGAGGTTGGAGGAAAGAGCACAGCTGCATTGTTAATATGCAGCGCATAATGACATCCAAAGTGGATCCTGGAATGTTTTAGATTTTCTTCCCTCCAAGAGGGCTGAGAAAGAGACGGGCTTCCACCCTAGCCAAAAATGCCTTTTGCTCACTGCCTCTTCCTTCCCACTAAAATAGCTCCTGGTGCTCTCATAGTTAACATGATCGGTGACATTTGGAAATCACACAACCAGCCCCCTTTGCCCACCCCATTGGTTCTCACACTCCCTCACTCACTCGCTCTAAATTCACTTAAGTCAAGACCCTCACAGGGCATCTTGGTCAAATCCTCCCCAGGCCCTCCAGGATGCTTATCACTTTCCCCAGAGATTAAGGAGGACAATGATTGGGCTTTTGTTCGCTTCTGAAGAGCCAGATAGGTCTGCTCTTTCATGCCTTCCTTTCTGTGCACCTTGAAATGCAGGTGGGGATGGTGTGTGTGTGTGTGTGTGTGTGTGTGTGTTAGGAGGGGAGGAAGAGAAGTGAGACACTTCCAGCTTCAGTGCATCCTCTGAACAGTGCAGAGAGTTCATTATAAAGGCTGAGCAGTCACTGAGCGTAAGTCTATTTGGAAACAAATCAATTTAAAATGTCATATTAATTATTTATGAATGCCGACATCAGCGAGGATTCAACTCAAAAATGCGGCTGTGCGCTGCCCATCGGCGCCTCCCTAATGAATGTGGCAAGGCAATGGCCAGGTGCAATTATTGGCTCATTCCATGAGTCAAGTTCCTTCTCCTCTCTTTGCTCCCAGACACCACCAAGGGCTCCCAAACATCTTTTGGCAACCTACATTTACCCTTATTTAGTAAGTTCAGGCGTGGGGGACCTTTACTCTCTCCTTATAGCTGTCAAGTCCCAGAGCTGTCCCTACCAAGCGTTCAAAACTCCCATTGTTCTAGGCACATTTTGCGACAGGGAATTTCATCAGCGTGAGCAGCTTCTAAGCTCTGGGCTCAGTACTGCGCCTAAGATTTCAGATTAAAACTGCCAGGTGGAAGGAAAGGAGGAACTTTTTCTGCCTCCCCACTTCCAGCTTCTCTCTGAAGACTGGAAAACAGACCATCTTAAGAATATTAAGGGGGTGGGCAGGGGAAGGACTAGACCATGCGAAAAATGAACATAATATTTTAGCTGCAGTTCATTCATTTTCAGCTTTGTATTCTTGTTATAAAAAAGCGCGCCTAGACATTCTGTTGTCGCTCCCATAACCTAGGTTTAAGTGCCACTTAGCTCCTAGCTTTCATATCTCAGTTTCTAACACTGGTCTTTACCATAACACTAGAATTCATGAACATCAAAGGAAGTTGAATGTTGGAAAATTCGGGACAGACAAAAGAAAGGACTTCTTCACGCAGCACATTGTTAAACTATGGAACTTGTTTCCACAGGAGGTAGTGATGGCCACCAACATGGATGGCTTTAAAAGAGTATTGGACAAATTCCTGGAAAGGCTACTGATGGCTACTAGCCTTGACGACTATGCTCTGGCTCCACAGTCAGAGGCAGAGGCTTCTGGTTGCCTGACACTGGAGACCACAGGAGCGGAGAGAGACTCTTGAGCACATGTCCAGCTTGCTGGTTTTCCACAGGCATCTGGTTGGCCATTGTGAGAACAGGCTGCTGGACTAGATGGCAACTGGCCTGATCCAGCGGACTCTTCTAATATTTTTATGTTCTTTAGGCAGAGTAAGGCAGGTGCCATGGGGCAGGGGCAGTCCCCCACCATTCTCCTTGGGTCCCCTAAGCTACCACACTGCCCTCAGGTATGGTGGAAGATACTCTCCCATCACTATGGTTACAGTCTGGTTGGAGGCTGCCTTTTCCCTTGCCACCCTTAAATATTGTTCTCGCTTGTGTTCCAGGGTGAAACCCACCAACTCTGAGCTCAGTAAATTCCTCTGCTAGAGATTCACAGGCAATTTCCCCTCTGCCACATTCCCAGCCTTTTTCTGAGCGCTGGGTTCTTCCGCCAGTCGTGTCACTTGACTTCTGACTTTTGATGACCAAGATGGAGAGTTGACTGCCAGGCGGCCGTCGGGAAGAAAACATCACATGGTTGCAAGAGAGCAACGATCAGGCTTGACAGGTGGGATGCTGCTCCTGTTCTTCTTCTAGATGCCTTTTTGACAGCAGCAAAATGGTTTCCCTGCTTTCCATCTCCAGAAATATGACAGGGGCTCCGTTTGCAGGAAGAGACAGGCTAAGCTCCTCTCCCCCCACCCTCTCTGCTTTGGTCTACTACAGGCTTCAAATCTTAAACTGGCTGAAGCTTTGAGGAAAGGGGTAAGACATGTCCTTGCAGGCTTTTGCAGGGCTGGCAGGTAAAGGTTCGGTCAATACTGGCAACAACGTAGAGTCCTTCAAAGCCTGTTGGAAGCAGGCTGGTTATGTGGTTACAGGACAGGCTGCGTGGCTCACACAGCTTTGTCCTCCAATAGAAGGGTTGCCTCATTCTGCCAAATGATAAGGCCTGACTTGGGCTTTTGCAATCAGTAACTATTAGCTAGCCCCATATTCACATATATTTGGGGTGCCCTTTCCTCCCTCAAAATTTCAATTATTTTGCTAATTTTGATCCTGGTTTCTGAAAACCTAGATAGCTCATAATAACAGGTCACTGAAAGCAGAACTGAAATTGATGTGCCTCTCAAAATTCTCCTCTGCAAGGATTATTATTATTCTCCAAAATTCTCTGATGAGGCAAATATTTGTTGGATATGTGATATTTAGCCTTCACATTGACATCTGATGTGCTTGCAGATGTGGCTGGAATTTGACCTTATATGATGGCTGACATGCAATACACGATTGAATTGATTTTATATTATTCCATCCATTCATTTAAGCAGTCAGGAAACCAACCAATTTCTATTTTTGATTTCCTAACCTCAGCACTGGCATCAAATGTTTGACTTCAAAATCTGAATTGCAAAATGTGTCTAATTTTGAATTTACTTGAAACTGTACTATTGGCCTAAGAGAAGTCCTGCCTCAAGAATTCACTTTGTGAAAGCGTTGCAGAGGCGGGGGTTGTTCAAGCAGACTTCAACATCATTAATTCATATGTCAAATCTTAATATAACAAATGCACCAATATTTGTTTATTATGCTTTTATTTCACCATTGCTTCAAGGAGCTTAAGGAAGGATATGAGGCTCCCCTCACAACAACCCCGTGTGGGAGATTCGAATAAGATGATGAGACAACCCCCCCCCCCTGTTACATATTACGGAGAAAAGTGACTTCATTTTACTCCCCTCACAAAAGGTCCTAGGACCTATTTGTCTGTAATTTGGGCAGCTTAATCCATTCTGAAGGGCTCTTGTGCCTATAAATTTCATCGACTTTGGCTGAAGGGTAGAAGGAATTATGTCCATTTTTATATTTCCCATTATAGTGAATAGAGAGCACCAGAGCTTCATTTTATACACAGTAGCTGGGAACCTGGTGCACAGATTGAATGAGCGAGAGCACAGAATGACTCAGAAACAGGTCAGAAATGCTCAAAAATGGACAAATCCAAGACAAATATTAAATATTAACAAATCTTAGCCAAACATTTCTGCTTTCACTTTCTTCAGTTGTATACACATATATATGGAAGTACACAAATCCTGTATCTACTCCCCATTCTAAAATTTAGGTTGCAATCCTATGTATATTTATTTGTGACTAAGCTCCACTGTACACAGTGGGACTTATTTCTGAGTCACTATGCACGGGATTGTGGTAGATCCCTGGATGATTCCCAACAATGGTTTCTGACTCCCACTTGTTTAACAGCAGCAGCAACAGAAGGTCTCTCCCCCCGCCCCGCCCCACTCCTAAATCAGGGTGGCTCATGGGATGCATTTGGCCAGTGGCTCCTCCCCTTGAGCTGCCATTTTGTACCTGGATCCAATTGGTGGACCTTGGGACTCTAGCAAAAGAGAGAGAGAGAAAGGGAAGGAAGGAAGGAAGGAAGGAAGGAAGGAAGGAAGGAAGGAAGGAAGGAAGGAAGGTAGGTAGGTAGGTATTGGAAGTCTGAAGGAAAGGAGGTTCAATCTTAAAGGATGATAACTCGTGGAACTCATGTGGGGAAAAACAAATTCAAAAAGGACATCTTGAAAAATGCATCCAAAGGCACAGCACAAACTATACTGTAACGCAAGAGGAGCCGTCCTGGGGGACATGTGAGGGGAGGGAGGGACAGTTTGGAGCACGTGGGACTCAAAAGTTCCCGTGGAACCACCAGCCAGCCTTCCTCTAGGGCAGAGAAGGAAGCCATCGTCCCCACCCCCATCCCAACAGCTCATTACAGATTCCTTTTGTATCACAACTTGTTTTAAAACCGTGAAATTAGTTCTGGCAGAGTGTGCAAAGAAACACCCCAGAGATGAGACTGAATGAGTTATGTAAGGTTTCCACACATCCCACATTTAATTGTTAACTCTTCATGAGCTTAAGTTGGAGAATAAATATGCAAATATTTGGGGGTGGGGCAGAACAGGCAGAGCCACATGTTATAGTTGCTACAGGAAACACCAGGGGGCCATCCATCTGAAGTGGCCCACCTGAGCCAGTACTGCCTACTCTGATTGACCACAGCTCTCCAGGGTCTCCAGCAGAAAATCATATTTCCCAGCACCTTCTTCACTGGAGACACTTCCAGGGATTGAACCCAGGGTCTTCTGCAGGCAAAGCAGCTGCTCTGAGCTTGAACTCTGGGCCTTCCCACCTGGCTTAACATAAGAACCGAAGGAGACCCCTGGTGGATCGGGGCTTATCTAGTCCAGCATCTTGACCAGATGCCTGTGGGAAACCGCAAGCAGGACTCGGGCACAAGGGCACGCCCCTCCTAGGGCTTCCAGAAACTGGCATTCAGAAGCATTGCTGGCTCTGACCATGGAGGCAGAGCATAGTCATTTATAACCTTGCCCTCTGTGAATTTGTCTAATCCTTCTTTAGTATCTTTTTAAATATCTTAAGCTGATGGTTAACATGGCTTCCTGCGGGAGTGAGTTCCATAGTTCAACTATGTGCTGCATGAAGAAGTCCTTTCTTTTATTTGTCTTCAGTCTTCCCAACATTCATCTGGGCTGGATGTCCACAAGTTATAGTGCAATACGAGATGCGGGAAACCCTTTCTCTATCCACTTTCTCCATGCTAGGCATAATTTCATAAAGTTTCATCAGGTTACCTCTTACTGGCCTTTTCTGTAAAATCTCAAATGCTGCAACCTTTCCTCATAGGCGAGTAACTCTGTCCCCTCAATCACTTGGTTGCCCTTTACATAACCTTTTCCAACTCATCATTTTTGGTGAGGTGAGCATAAAGGCTACTTGTGTCAAAAGAATTGCACTGACCAGTGATCAAATTTAAATAACTAAGCCAATGATGAATCAACTAATACCCATTAACCAAGTAAGATTTGTTGTATCAGGTGACAGCCAAAGTCATAGTTGTTTATTATCTGATCTTCATCATCCACGGGGCCTTTCCCCCGGATCTTTGTCCCAGCTCAGTGGCAAAACATCTACCTTGCATGGAAAAAGTTTAATTCCTGGCATTTCAAGGTAAGGCTGGAATGTCCCCTGCCTAAAATCCCAGACAACTGCTCCCAGTCTGTGTAGGGAATACTGGGCTAGATGGACCAATGGTCTGACTCATTGTGAGGCTGCTTTCTATGTTCTAGACTCTTGATCACAATCTGGAGTCAGAGACAATGTGCATCCTCATATGGTTCTTTCCCCTATGGTTCTTTCCCTCTACTTGATCTGTGGCAGGAATGGGGCAATCTATGCCCCACTGAAATGTTTCAGGATTCTAACTGCCATCAACCCCAATGAGGGATCTGTTAGTATCTCAGCTCACACTCAGCTGTTGGAGTCCAACAGCTTTTAGGGGAAAACAGGTTCCCCATCACTGATCTACTGGATAACTGGAACAGAAACAGCTGCCTTATACTAGGACAGCCTATTTGTCCACCACAAGGTCAACTTTGCTCTGACCGGCAGCAGTTCTCCAGGGTCTCAGACAAAGAGGGATGCCTTATCCTCACCTGCTGTTTGAGTCTTCTAGCTGGATAAAACCTGAGACCGTCTGCATGCAAAGCAGGTGTTCCCCACTTAGCTATGGTCCTGCCGTCTACTTTCTACTTATGGCAAATGCTGGAAATCCTCAAATCACCTTCTCAAATGTACTACTCACTGTGACCCCTTCTGTCTCCCCATTTCCCCTTTTCAATCACAGCCATGATGCAGCATCTGGCATCAGCTAAAGCAATGCACAGATGTGACTGGTTCTGTGGAAGAGGCCTTTGCTGTTGGGTGCGCTGCCCGCTACCCCCGCCCTAAGTTTGAAAGTGATTCACACACAGAGGGTTAGCCCAACCCAGTGGGATAATCTGTTCCATGGGTGTGCCATGGGCCTGGGAATAATGATGCACCATCTTCCCAAATAATGTTAAATACTGTTACAAGAGTTGAATGCCTCCTCCTCTCTCTGCTGGAGAGGGTTGCAGGCACTCACCCAGGGTCTGTGGTCCTTTGGAGAATTGAAACACGGCCTATTTACACCTTCAGTCTACAAAGAGGGAGTCCAGATCTGGCAGCATGGCCATTTGAAGAGGGGCTTGTATCCTTCAGCAGTGCAACCCTGGAGTCCAAGGCATCTCTTCCTGTCAGTCCTGCAGCCATCCTGCCCAACATGGCTCCCAGACCTTCTTATTCCCAGCAACCCTTGCTCAAAACTCTCCTCCTATGCCTCACACCCAGTTACCCTGGCAAACCCCCAAACCCCCAGTCTCTGTTCACATCTCAGTGTAAGGGGATGTTCTCTTGCATTGCCAATGGCCCTTGATGGCCCTGTATTGTTTCTTAATGGCCCCAGCTTGGCCAGGACGTTTTTGCATAGGTTACCCCAGGAATTTCTCAGCAGCTTGTATTTCTTCCTTCACATCCCCAATCATCAAAATCCTAGAATTTATTAATTTCCAGGTTTTTGCCATGCCCCCCCCCGCCGCCCATCTATAACAATACTTAACTGAAACAAACCCTTTAGCCGGTCTGGAAAGAAAGTTTCTGTTGATGGGGGAAGGGAAAGGGTATTTAATTTCTAAAGCATAAGGTGAAAAAAGTTAAGCATTTTGTCTGGATCACAGAACCATGAGTACTGTCATCCTTCAAGATGCTGAGAGAAATCTTGAGGAGCATGTCTCAGACTGAATGCTCCTTCACTCATTGGCATAGCGTGGGGGGACCGTAGCCCCGGGCACATTTTTGAGGGTGCAACCAGGCATCTCCATGATGCACTCCTTCATTAAGGGAATCTGCGCCCGGGCCCAGGCTTTGGGGTGGTAGCGGCAGCGGCAGAAGCAGCTCCTTCTCCTTAGGGCCACCCTTGGGCCGGCCAAGAGGGAGGGGGAGGGCGCAGATCCCAACTGGCCACAGCTCCTCTGCTGGATCAGGCCTGACCTGGGGGTGGAAGTGGCGGGGAGGAGAAGCAGCAATGGCTATTTTGGTGCCCCCCTCCTCTGTTGGGATCTGGCACATGAGTGCCCCCCCCCACGTGCCCTGCTCACCCCTGGTGCACACACTCAATGCCCCGGGTGGCGATAAGAGACGCTACAGCCCTGCCTTCATTGGCATCTTAGAAACAGAAGCAAAGGGCAGAGCCTTTGCAACTTTCAGGGGAACGTCTTTTAAAATTTTCTGTTTATACCAGGGACAGAGCAAAATTCTGTGCAGTCCACACCTTTAAAGCGAAATGATCAGGGTTACAGTTGCCAGACTTATACAGTGACAGAAATGCAGTCAACAATCAGATTCCACACCTATCCAAATTGTGTGGTGTTATTTTGCTTCAGTGCATATTTTAGGGGGAAATGCCTGGGGAAAAGCAGACAAAACTGCTGGTTTTAGAAGAAAAACACGTACAAAATGCCTATTTTTAATCTGTGTGGGTTTATTGTTGCTTGTTTTTTTAAAAAAATAGTTTTTATTAAAGATTTTCTTGTGCTACAAAACAAACAAATAAACAGGGGAAAGTACATCTATTGTCTCCACTTTCAATTGTCTTCCAGGTGCTGTCTTCCAAGTGCAAAGATACAAGATGTGGAAGAGAAGTTGCCAAGTCTTATAAATCCCACTGACTACTACCTCCTCCTTCTGATTCATGTGGGTACAAATAATACTGCCATTCAAAGCCTTCAACCTATAGCAAGGACTATGAGACCCTGGACAGGAAGCTGAAGAGACTTTCTGTTGAAGGTTGTGGCCCAGGAAGAGATAAGAAAATACTGGAGGTATTAGATGAAGGCATTGAGAGGATGCTCATCAAATTTGCAGATGACACCAAACTGGGATGGGTAGCTAATGCCATAGAAGACATAATTAGAACCTTAACAGATTGGAGAACTGGGTGCAAGCTAACAAAATGAAGTCAACAGTGTGATGCAGCAGCAAAAAAAGCTAATGCTATTCTAGGTTGCATCAACAGAAGTAGAGTGTCCAGATCAAGGGAAGTAATAGTACTTGGTAATAGTATTGCCTTGGTCAGACCACACCTGGAACACTGTGTCCAGTTTTGGGCTCCACAATTTAGGAAGGATGTTGACAAGCTGGATTGTGTGCAGAAGAGGGCAACCAAGATGAACAAGGGTCTAGAAGCCAAGTCTTATGGGGAATGGTTGAAAGAGCTGGGTATGTTTAGCCTGGAAAAGAGGAGACTAAGAAGAGATATCTTAAGCGCCATCTTCAGATATTTCAAGGGCTCTCACATGGAGGAGGAAGCATGCTTGTTTTCTCCTGCTCTGGAGGGTAGGATTTGAACCAATGGCTTCAAGTTACAAGAAAGGAGATTCCGACTAAACATCAGGAACAACTTTCTCATAGTAAGAGCTGTTCATGAACGGTCTCCCTTGGGAGGTTGTGGATTCTCCTTCCATGGAGGTTTTTAAGCAGGGTTTGGATGGCCACCTGTCATGGATGCTCCTGGGGGTCCCTTCCAATTCTATGATTCTATGAATTCATGAAGTCTTTTTCACAGTTTGTTTACATTTAGTGAGAGACACATTTGTCATAGACATATTGTGGTTGGGGAGAAGGAGAGAGATGGCCGTATTGTTCTTTTGTGCTGTTGCATAGTGTTAGTGTAGGGATTTGTGTCAGCATCACATGGGTAGGTCTTTTGTGTATATAGTTATCTATTTTTATTGGCCCTGTGAAAGATTAGGAGGACTAGATCTTGGTTGGTTGTGTTCAGCTGAATGGAAGTCCGGCTTGTTTGTTATGTTATTATTGAGGGACGGGAGATGTTTCTGGGAGAAGAGGAGCTGAGAAGAGCAGGGGCCCCAATCACAGTGGTTTTAGGGTAGAGGGAGGCATGAATTGAGAGGGGGGCCGAGCCAGGTAAGGGCCACATGGTACAGACAGTTAGTGACTATGTCATGCGCCAGCTCCAACCTGGGCAATTGCGGCTGGGCCATCAGCCAGCCCTCGGGTCTAAGGCTGCTTTTGCTGAATCCAAGGCCAGCTCTGAATAAAACCTCCCTCATCCTAGTGCCTCCACATCTGTGGAATTATTTCCCCAGGGAGGCTTACCTGGCACCTTCATTGCATATCTTTATGCTCCAGGCAAAAACATTCCTCTTCTCCCAGGCTTTGGCTAGTTAAACAACCGATGGCCTGTGATCCTTAGATTGATTGATTGATTTTATTATCAGAGCTTTATTTCAACCGGGAGTTAGTTCTGGCACCTCTCAGGTGGGTGCCATTGCCATCATAAGAGAACAAGAGAGACATTCATGGTGAATTCCAGAACCGCTTTTTCTAGAAAAATAGCACTGATTGTTGTTATTATTATTTAGAGGAAAGTGTGTATGAAAACATGTCCCATTTTAATATATATTTTTTTCTGTCTTCCAGTTTTGATAGCAAGAGCAGAAAAGGGGACAAAAGAGTTATATTTGTGTATTGTATCTTGCAGATGTTGTCTTGGTTGATTACCATGATTAAGTTGTTGCAACTTTTGTGGGTGATTTTGTTTTATTGCATGCTGGTATTTTGTAATTGTCTTGTAATATTATATGCAAAATGGATTCTTGGATTTTGTCAAGTTGTTGTTGGCCATGTTAATTGTTAAAGGATAGCCATGTGGTTTTTCTTGAATAGCCTTCATCTGTATGAGATGCAAACCGCCTGGAGTATTGTAATGTAAAAAGGCGGTATACTAGTGAAAAATGAAATGAGATGAGTTTAATGCACACACAAAATGAATGGAAATAGGGTCATCTGTTCTATCTCTAGTTTATACAAGTCTTCTATTTATGCAAGCTTGGGAGAGCGGCACATTTATGACAAGAGCATGAATGATTAACTAGGAACACCTTATTTGCACCAAAGTACCCCCAAGGTAAAGCCATATTAAAACCTTTACTCAAAACAGTTACACCCAACACTAGCTTAAAAAACAAAATCCATCTCATTTACTGTGTGTTCAGTTTGGAAGCTGCCACATTTGAAATCCTTTATTTGTATTGCAGGGAGCAGAAAGGCATTACCATTTATGATGACCTTCCCACCTCCTGGACTACTGTTTTCAGAAGCCCACAGAGGGGACCCATGATTTGGATAAAACTGGACAGTGTCTGGTGTGGGCCATGTGAATTTCATTGACCTGTATCCCCATAATTCTAGCACTGAGGTTGTCTTCATATTTCTTCTAGAGTCCAGATGAAAGGGCCACAACTAAGTGGAGTTTGTCTGCCCAGTATTTATTTCAGTCTCTTTTCTAAAGCGTTTCATTGGATTTCTAAACTCTCAGCTGCACCAGATGGAAAAAGACCTCACCTAATCAGTGACAATTCTGTGAAAATTCTGATGATTCAAAAGGCATTTCCTGCTTAGGACTGACTGTTCTTTCTTTCTGCTGGCTGAGTTATAGGCAATAAAATATACCTTTGCAGAAGGAAACGCCCTGTAGTGTTACATAAGTCCTAAAAATGCATTGCAGTGTTTTGCTTTTCACTCAACCAACCAAACAAAAAGACTGATCTTCAAGATCCGAGTCTAGAGAATTCTGAAGTAATCTGGTAAAATCACCTCAGAGAAAGTTACAAGAAGCCATTGCAAAACTCTTCACAGCTTAAAGTATTTCTGAACCCAGCTGGAATGGCGGGGCTTTGCGATAGCTGCAGTACAGGCTCCAAAATCTCCACCCCTCCTTCACGGAGCAACCTGGGAGACCATCCATGCCAAGATGTAAAAATGAAACACACACAAAGCACAACATTTGGGCTTGCGTCTGCTTTGCAGATGCTTCAAAGCCCTAATAGCATAAAGATGTTCACACAAGCTGACCTCAAACGCCCTTCCTTAAAGAACTCAGCAGAAGGACCATCTCTCTCCCCTCTCCCTCTCTCTAATCTCAGGTGTGTTGCTGAGCACTCCACAAAGGGCTGACAAATCCCACAAATCTTTCCTTCTCTGTGCACGTAACAAACAGCCCTGGTGACATGAGATCAACTTGCTACAGCCAACCAGTGACTCTCATGCCTGATGCAAGACAGCTGCAACACAGAGCTGCTTCTCTTTGATGCTATAAACATAGCCCCCTCCCCCTTTTTTGGTCAGGGGAGAAAAAGCAAAGCTTTGTCTCCACCAGAAGCATGACTATGGCCCTGATGCCTCGGAGTGGGGTAGATCTGGGGTGCCACTAATAGGGTCAGATTAAGGCTATATTGCACAAGCCTCACCCCAAAATGAATTTTTCAGCTCCTTTTCATTTCAGTGCGATCTGGATTGTGGATTGAAGAGGGGCTACCAGTTGAACATGGCAACCTAGGAAGCTGCCTTAGACTGGGCAAGACACTTGGGTCCATCTAGCCCAGGGGTCAGCAACCCGCGGCTCCGGAGCCGTATGTGGCTCTCTTACACCTTTGCCGCGGCTCCGGGGCAGATACTAGCGAGGGGAGGAGGCGCATTGTGTGCCCTGACACTCCCCACTGTTTTAAATGTCTCAATGGTTTTGCGGATCCCAGTTTTTTTTTCTTCGGTCCAAGTGGCTCTTTTTGTCTTAAAGGTTGCAGACCCCTGATCTAGCCCAATTGTCCACACTGGCAGCCAGCAGTTTTCCAGGATTTCACACAGACCTGCCTGGAAATGTTAGGGATTGATCCTGAGACCTTCTGTATGAAGAGCAGCAGCTTGGCCACTGAACCACAGTCCTTCCCCTTATTGGGATCTCACTCCATCCAGAAAGAAAACATCTTGAGATACCTCACACTGGCCTTCTCCTCCACACCCAACACCAGCCTCTTCCGGCCCTGCATCCAGTCTCCTGCAGTGTGTTGGCATCCATGTCCTCATCCCTTCCAACATTTCTCCGATGAAAATAGGGACATCCTATTCCTTATTATTATTATTATTATGTTTATACCCCACCCATCTGACTGGGTTGCCCCACCCACTCTGGGTGGCTTCTAACATATATAAAAACATAATAAAACATTAATCATTTAAAAAAACTTCCCTATACAGGGTTGCCTTCAGATGTCTTCTAAAGATTTTATAGTTACTTATCTTCTTGGCTCAGAGGTCACAGAACTCCATACCCTCCAACATTTCTCCAATAAAAATAGGGACGTCCTAAGAAAAAGCAGGACATTCTGGGATCAAATAAAAAACTGAGGTGGCTTCTGTAAATCTGGGACTGTGCCTTGAAAATAGGGACACTTGGAGGGTCTGTGTCCTTCCAAGATGTAATTCAGCATGCCCCACACGCCAGTGGGGTTTGGTGCCCTTTGGGACTGGTAGGTAGGGCAGCAGGCACGGAGGTCAAGAGGAAGTTGGAGCCAGAGCCAATGAATGGCAGGTGGAGCCATTTTGTTCCTGGTTCTGTCCCCATCCTTCTCTCTGCTGAGTTCTATAAGGGCAACACTGAGACACTGAAATGGAGGAAGCTTGCGCTTCCAGTTCCTCTCTTGCGGCATGGTGATGGCTCAACATCGGAGAGAGGCACAGGCTGAAAAAATGGAGACGGAAGGGGTTAAACCATCCCCAATAAACCTCTTGGGGTACCAGAGTTACTGGTGACCTGTCGTCTCAATGGCTCGGGGAACGGGCAGGGGCTCTGGATGCTGCGCACTTCACGCGATGCAGAACACCCCCCCACCAAATCACCACTGGATGCAGAGGTTTTCCTTGTAATTGGGTCCTGATTGTCATTAAGAATAATTGCGCACCAGAGGAGATGGACATTATAACTGAGAACAATCAGCTGCATGGAAGCGAGGTTTGAAATTGGGAGAAGATTCTATCTTGTTCTGAGGTGTATAGAGGAGAGGGGGTCTCTTTGGTGTATTTTATGGAAGTTTTTACATTTATGATTTGGCAACCCTCTCCTAATATTGAATTTTAAGATACACAAGTGAGGATGGTTTGATGTACGATGTAACATTGAGATTTAAAAGAAGACGTAAAGCTGTTTGCGGCTTGAAAGGAGTAAAGGGGGGGTGGCTGTTTTTTTGGAAGGATGTAGCTGGGAGTTAGAGCCTACCCCCCCCCCTCAAAAAAAGACTGAAAGAGATCGTGGAGATATTGAGCTATAACCTATTCTTTTATAAAAATCAAAATGCTATGGTGGTGGCAAAAGGAAAGCGGCGTGAGGGCCTTTTGGATGTTGGAAGAGGAAGGGCTCTGCCTTTTCCCTCCTTCCCAGCCAGAGGAAGAAATGGCGAATCTCTGGAACTTGTTGATTTTTGGTGCCAGTGGAAGGGAGGGATCTGCTGTTGTCGATTTGGAACTGCTCGAGTATTATGGGAAGGAGCTGAGCCAGAGAAAGGAGAGGGTTTAACCTTGAAGTTGCAGCTCCACCCCAAGCAGGCTGGAATACAACAACAGTGGGAGTAAGGAGAGAGCCCCAAATGCCGCAGGAAAAAGGAAAACATCAGAGTGACATATAAGGCCAAGAGACTAAACTGATTTTTGGATGTGGTGCATGCAGGATGAAAAGGAAAAAGCTATGGTTCCTCACTTGAAGCCTTTTTTTTTTGAAAGTTAAATAATATAATAACACAAATAGAAATTATTAAGAGTGCAGCTGTTAATTATGTGATACTTTTGAAAAATGGAATGCAATGGAAATAAATAAGAATATGAAACACAGTAATATTAGATCATAAAGATCCATCAAGAACAGTGTGCAGGAAGCCTCTTAACAAAACTGTATTAATTTGGAACTAATTTGTGTAATTGGGTTTATATAGGAAAATCAATAAAAATAATTGGGGGAGGGAAATGTAATGAGGCAGCTGGCAGGAAGCACCACCAGGCAGGTTCTAAGGAAGAAAGCAGGCAAGTGAGGGCAGGCTGAGGGGAGACTGAGGTTAGTGGGGAAGTGTTGTGCTTATCCTAATGAACCAGCCTCCACTGCCCTTGGTTCTGAAGCAGGGAGCAGGGCCTCTTCTGTGGTTGGCCCCAGGCTTTTCACACGCTCTCTGCCAATGGGTCTGGAAGGCCCTCTCCCTCCTGCCTTTGTCTTGGATTGTGCACAGCTACACCATCGGCATCCTCAGGCACCTAATCCGTAACCACACGTGGACTTGGCAGGAAAAGTGGAGAGAAGAGTCTTGTGCTGTTCCAGCCCTCTGACAATCGTGCTTCTGTCTGTGTGGAAACAGGACATGGCTGGTGGTGGAGAGCAACCAAGTACAGGGTTGCCAGGTCAGGAGCATCCCAGACCCTGAGATTTCAGGGCTCAAACCTGAGACTCTGGTGATTGCTATGGGATGGGACAGCCTCAGGGATGCTATGGGGTGGGCCCCAGTGATATCACAGTGGGAGGGCCCCATACAGTCTGCAATAGTTTGCAGAGACATAGATGAATTGGGAGAAGGGAAGAGGGAGGGGAGAAGGTAATATTGCCCCCCCCCAGAGTCTATGTAATAATTTGCAAAAACTGAGCTTAATTAAGAGATCCTGTGCAATAAGAAGCGGATGGTTCCTGCAAGGCTGAAGCTTGCAAGCTGCATGCACAGTCTTGTTAATTTTTTAAAAGGCTCTTTTGCCCACCTAGATATTCAAGGGCTCCCCCTGCCACTGCAGGATGCAGGGAGACAGCGGGCAAACCTGGAGATTTCGGGTCAGGCCTGGGGGTCTCGCAACCCTAATGAAGTGCCACAGACATTGTATTCTAATTGCAGGCCTGCTTTGCCTTCCCACCGAGCTGGTCTTGTTTGCTTTATTCCACCCTCCCTCCCACTCACCCCTTTTCTTGGATAAACACCGGTTTCCTACATTGATTAATGGCAGGGTTATCACAAGGGTTATCTGACAATGCAGGCAATTGGGCCTCTGTGTTTTTAACAACTGCCAAACTCTGGCAAAATCTGTACAGTTATATCTCTTTAATATCACCCCACTCCATCTGTCCCACTGGAGGCCAATAAATCTTCCTCATGAATAATACGAGGATTTGCAGCGCCGGCAATTTATCATTTTTATTAACATTGGGCTCATGAGATACAGTTCAGATTAAGAGCCTACAATGTCTCTTAAGTTCAGACGGAGGCTTATCGATGTGCGATGTTAAGATTTCCTTCATCCTCTTAGAAGAAAATGGTGTCCTTGGGCTTAGGAGAGAGTTGGTGCTTCTGCCACAAACACCTTCCTTGATCTTGGACAACCCAAGAGGGTAGACCTGAACCAGTGGCTTCAAGTTGCAAGAAAGGAGATTCCGACTCATCATCAGTAAGGACTTTCTGGCAGTAAGAGCTATTTAACAGTCAAACAGACTCTCCTTCCTTGGAGGCTTTTAAGGAGAGGTTGGCTGGCCATCCGTCATGGATGTTTAGTTGAGATTCCCACATTGCAGGAGGTGGACTAGATGATCCCTGGATGCCTTATTATAGAACTGCAGAGTCGGCAGGTACACTGAGAGTCATCTCTAGTTCAACTCCCTGCAATACAGGAATCTCAGCTAAAGC